GGGATTGAATGCCAACCTGCATGATGCGAGACCGTCGCTCTACCGTCCAGCCCAAAGGCTGGACGGTAGAGCCGTCGAGCGAGCGACGGTAGAGCCTGATGGGCTGAACCGTCCGTCAGGCTCTCTGGGCGGTTCATGTTCAGGGTGTGTCTAACGTCCTGGCAGACGGCCTCTCCCGTTTCATTCCCATATCCACGAAATGGACGGTCGACACTCGTTCCATTGGCTCTGCCGGACGTTCGGGTGCCCGGAGGTGGACCTCTTCGCATCTTCCGGTACATGCGGCGTCCTTCCCCGACGGCCACGCAGTCAATGCTTTCGACTGGACTGTTCTAGGTGGGGTTACCTGTACCTCTTCTTCCCGGTTCAGTTGTTGCTCCAGGTCGTGGCTCGCTTGGAGATTGACTTGGAGTCCTGGTGGCTCCCTTGGTTTCTGGCACTATTTACTCGGTGTCCGTCCCAGAGGGTCTTCCTGCGGCTCCGCCTCTTTCAGCAAAATCGGTCCGGTCCGTAGCTAGTTCGATCTTCTCCTCCGACCTTCGTGTCTGGTCTTTTTGATACATGTTTATCACCACTTGTATGATGATCAGGTGGCTTTGTTGGTGGTGTCCCACCTGCAAGTTTCGTCTCGGCGGCAGTATGAAGTTTCCTGGCAGTCCTTTCGGCACTTCTAGACTCTTTGTAGGTTGTCTTCGATTTCTGATCGAGTTGTTTTGAACTTTCTCTCTCTTGGTTGTTTCTGAACCATCATCTTATGCCAAATGTTGTCGCTTCGTATCGTGCGACGCTGGCAGAACCACTTCAGCTTGCGTTTGGGGTGGATGTCACTTCTGCTCCTTTCCGTAAGCTTTCTTGGGCATTGTTTCACCTCCGGCCTGCTCATGCACCGCCTGAGCCATCCTGGTCGTTGGACCAGGTGTTCTTTTCTCTCTTCTCCTTGGTTTGTGATGGCCCCTTTGGGTCAGGACTGTTTTTCTAAGGCTCTTTTTCTTGTTGGCATTGGCCTCCGTGGGTTGGGTCGGGGAGCTTTATGCTCTCTTCCGACGCAGGGGTCGTTTCGTTCGTTTGTAGCCATCTCCTTCTTTTCTGGCGAAGAATGAGACTGCTGCTTTCTGGATGGGTTCTTGGGTTGTTGATGCTTGGTTGGTTCAGTCAGGGGTGCATCATGTTGTGTGTCCGGTTGTGGCTCTTCGCCTTTACTTGCGAGCCACGGCCTCCATGGCAAGGGATGCGCTTTGGGTTGTCCCAGTTTTCCCTCTTCCCTGTTCCAGGGTGCGGGTCTCCCAGGTTGTTCACAGGATTATTCTCTCCAGTCAGCCTGTGGTCTATCCCCGTGCCCACACCATTCGTAAGTTCACGGCTTTGGCTGCTGTTTTTGGTAATACAGTATGTCGTGGGTTGACATTTGGGCACAAGGCTTTTGGAGGTCGAACAGGGTCCTGGCCACATGGTACCCCTTGTTAATGTTCCTGTCCCTTCTCGGGTTTGTGTAGTCTTGGGTCGCAGGTTTCAGCCAGTTGTCTCAACTTCAAGTTGTTGAGGAGTGGTGGTGGCCGCCTCCTGTTTAAGTTCCTCTTTCCTTTATCTTTGGTTAGGCAGCTCCGGGGAGCTGAAGGGGTCTCCATAGAAAACCAGAGTTGAATGTAAAGAAATGCCATTTTCTGGGTGAGACCTGGAGGCTCCCCAACATCCCTCCCTCCCTCCCTCACTCCGGTCGGCAGATTTTTCTGCATTTTTGATATTCAGCCTCTGAACTGGGGTTGGATAGCTGACAGAGGTCTGGGACACCCTTTTTTCCCCTCCCCCTCGAGGCTGTGGTAACGTCATGCTTGTTTGCCCATTTTCTGATTGGGAGTTCTGTTCGCTCGTTCGGCTTTCGGTTAAGCAATTTTTCACCAGCTGTAGTTTGTTTTGGGATTCCTACCGTTCTGGGGCCAGATTCACGAAAGCACTTATGCAAACACCTACGAACCTGTACATCTTTTCTCAATCTTTGGCGGTTTTGTTTCCAATTATTAACACTTTTGCGCTATCTGGACGAGCCGGCGCGTTCGGTTTCGTCTAACGTAAACGCTTAGTGGACATAAAGTTATGTCTACTTTTAAAATATTTGTATAAAATTCAATTTTTATCCGATTTACTTTGGGTTTGTTTCAAACTGCGCGCTATGAGGCTCTCTTTCTCACCACTAGGCTGCATGGTACAATAAGTTCATGAAAGGTGTGGATAACTTCGATCAAATGGTATTTTGTCCCAAACGGGTTGCAGGTGGGTGACTTTAGCCGTTTATACTGGTAATTCTTCCCCCATATCATGTATTAGATGCATATGTCTGTTTAGGGAATTTTATTCCGATCAATATACAACCAAAAATAACTGTGTACAACAAGTATAATCTTGACAAACATAACAAAAGTAAAAATATTTCGTGTGTGTTTGACGCTCGCTGATATGTTCCAGCGTTGTTTTATATTTGTCGCTATTCTAACTTACGCTTTGTTGATATTTTTTACCTATGGGCACATAGAACATTCTATTGCGAACACATTGACATAAAAATGAATGACGTACATAGAAAATTAATGTCATGAGAGTGAAATAAGTATAAACTTTCAAAGCGCCGTGCGTCGTCCCGTCACCGATACCGGGTAACAATTTCACCACTTCCCACACTCTTGCGGGCGGGCTGCATCATTATTCTACGCTTATATTCATATCACCGTGTCGGGAATTTCATTGCGAGTCCATTGATATCAAAATTAACGCTGTAGAACAAGTGTGGAGGTGATTACAATCCCAAGAGTAAAAACATTTTGTTGCTGATGGGCGCTCACGGCGAGTCATCTACGTAGTTATTTATTTGGTGCTGGTATCCCTATATGTTTCGTGACTTATTTTACTAATGTTCTTCTAGAGAATTTTATTGCGAACACGTTGGTACCAAAATGAAATACGTAGCATGAGAACTAAGGTCAGAAGAGTAAAAAGAGTATACACATTTTTGTTTTTACCCTTAAGCTATAAAAACGCAGCGCGCACATTCGGTTGGCTGAGTGACCTTTGCGGAGAGCGCGAAAGTGTTAAACAGTTATTGAGCTCCGAAGCACTAGGAGGCTATTTATAACAATAACAACAGTTGAATGGGAAGTTTTCATGCTTGTAAACTGTTTAATAAATGTAACCAAAGCCGTCAAAGATTGAGGAAAGATGTACATGTTCGTAAGTGCTTGCGTAAGTGCTTTCGTGAATCTTGCCCCTGGGTGCCTAACCTGGTAGATGGCTGATATAGACCGTTTCCAATTACACGGGGGTGTCTATGGGCCATTGCTCCTCGTGCCTCTCATATGAAGGGGGCCAGGTTCTGGCGCTGGTCATTGGGAGGCCTAGAACTCCATTGATTGACTGTTGCTACGGTCTAATATATACACATCAACCCGGTATAACTTCGGGGAGTCTCTGGGTCTCGCCCAGAAAATGGCATTTCATTACATTCAACGCTGGTTTTTTTCATCTAAGAGAATCGTATCTTAATGTTATTTATCTTGATTTTTGTAACTTTCTAAATTTTGAAAACACTTTCCATGTGATTATACAATGTGCTTTATTTTTATAGTCATGTGATGGCTGTTTTGGAAAATTGTGTATTTCTATTTAGGGTAGAGGCTGTTTCTGTTCTTAGTCTGCTTTGGTTCTCTCCAGCAAGTTCTGCCTCTTTCAGGAAGGACATACCATGACTCTGTGACCATTTAGCTCAATCCTTTTGTGGGATGATAACATCTACAAGCCTTTTCTAAAGCATAAGCTTGGGATTATTTAGTGTTAGTGGGTGTTCCAACGTTTATTGTGAGCTTAGTTTTCTTCTTCTCAGGATATCAGTTGGCACGGGGCAGCTGTCTGATCCACTCCTCTCTGCTCTCATTTGAGAAATACTTGTCTGTTGGGGAGTTTGAATGATTTTTCCTGCTTATTCAGTCCTGTTTCTTACCTGTGATACCGATGGCTGTTTTATTTTTTTATGTTATTGATAGGTTAACACTTTAGTCCGGGCATGACGCAGCATTGCGTCATCCGTTTACTGTCGGTAATCTCAGTGATGACGCATCATTGCGTCATCCACTAAAATAATTGCCAAAAATCAGGTTTTTATCCCATTTTTTGGGGACTGTTTGGTAACTGTCAACAAGCCGAATGCAATCTGTGACTACAATACAAACATGAAAGGTGTTGATCACTTTGACCAAATGATCAAATATTATCACTTCATAGGGAAAACTCACAAATGGACGAAGAAAATGACCTTCTATTTTGTGCAAGTGGCTATATCTACAATGCTTATGTGATGTACAGCTACTACACAAAAAATACTAAACTATAATACTAAATATACTAAAATACTAAATACTAAACATTTGTGGGCAAGAATTGGAAGTGTAGCTGGAAGGCGTCTGGGCGCTCACTCGCAGTTAACGCGTGGCCCGTCTTCAACTCGTCGGCGGGTGGAGCGTGACCAGGTTTTTTATTTTATATGCTAATGTTCCTCTAGAGAATTCTATTGCAAACCCATTGATACCAAAATGAAAGACCTAGGATGAAAATTGAGGTGACCAGAGTGAAAAGAGGGAACACATTTTATCGCTTTTGCGCGCTCCTGGGTAACTCGTTCGCACTTTCTCTGTTTGCTGCGGGTAATTAGCCGGGCTTTTGGAGTTTATATGCATTTAGTGCTGTAGAGAATTCTATTGCGAACACATTGATACCAAATTTAATCTCGTAGGACGAGAATTAAGGTGACAAAGTTGAAGAGAGTATACACTTTTCAGAATTAACGCGCGCTCCCATGAAATGCTGGGACCCAAATCGCACAGTTGAGGGGTGGCGGGCGGGGCACGCCAAAGTGTTAACATGTTCTGATAGTAAGTTCTCATTTCTATAAGAGAATTGAGCCATTAATGAACACGTCATGTATTATTTTATTTCTTAAGCTGCTCTTTGATTTTCAGGATGAGAGACCAAGAGTAAGCAGTGTGGTGTCCCTGTTTCTGTTGGCTCAAGTATTCCTCATAGTGTCACATGCTCCGCTGGTGAGAGCACTTGCCAAAATTATCTTCCATGCAGATAACTCAATATTTTCTGAGGACACAATTATTTTACAGGTAACTAACTTGTTTTTTCTAGACTTACTATTCCATTATTTGAAGTGGCCTGTGAATAAAAATATAGGGGTCAGCGTTGCAGATTATAATGCATTTTAGGAAGAGTAAGCGAGAGGGTTAAGTGACGAAAACAAGAGATGGAAATAAGAAATTAGTCTTATTGCAGTTGTTATTGTACTTGCCTTATTCCTTTTACTTCAAAGCTGAAAGATTTAGATAAAATTAGAACAAAATATTGGGTTTCAGTTAAATTTTACATGGATGAACTACTATTGTGTGATGTAAAAGATTAGACCATTACAATAACTGATTTAATGCAGTCAATGCTCAGATTTTCTCTGATATGAGTTTTTTTAAGATTTCCACTTTGGTTCTGGCAATATTTCTTAAAATTGCTGATGGTTATTGAAGAGCCATGGGAACCTCTTACGGTCATACAGTGCTTTTATTGTGCCTATGGCACCTCTACTTTTTGCTGGCTCTATTCTGCATTTCCTTTCATAACATTCACCTTAGTATGTTATCTTACTATGCAAATTTTGGACCTGGCACTCCCTACAGTAGTTTCCATGTGTATATTATTTTATACCTCTCTTTTTTTCTTCTTTCAGTGATAAAGATTTGTGAATAATTTGACCTTTTTCTCAATAAAATATGAAAAGGGCCTTAGAATTTATTTTGTCCATCTTCACTTATCAAATGCAGTATCCTCATTGATATCAGCTATTTTGTAATTGTCACATATAGGCGAGTCTTGTGTATTCTGCAGGAGTTATATCTGCCTTCAGTGATGTACTTTATTAAACATAAACAATTTTGTATTTTCAAGTGAATCAAAGCATCACTATGTTTAATCTTATGTGTTTGTCAAAATTTGAGTGGGAAATTTAAACTAAACTGACAAGCATTAGAGAAGTCTTCAAAAGTATTATTTATAAAGTATTACACAGCAAAAGTATTATTGCTTAAAGTATATTTGGCAGCTTTGCTTAATTATCATAAATCGATGACTTCTTGTTCTAGAAGTTCCAGGTCTCGAGAATTGATCTTTCTGAGGGAAGGTGTCGGCTCCCTGGAGCTATAGGACTGATATTGGCTATATTAGTCTGGGGCTTCAATCATATGGAATTGTCTACCTACCGGAAACCACAAGCCAACACCTGGCTCCCTCAGAGAGGTGAAGGGAGCAATGGCCTTTGAAAACTCCACTCTTTGAGAGTATATTCATGTCTGCTATCGATCGGGGTTAGGCACCCAGAAAGGCAGGCACCTCAAAATAGACCCCGACTGGTAGAAAATTGCATCCAGAGACCGAAAGAGAGGCTAAAAACTCCCCTGAAGAAAAACAAGGAAACGATCAAATTGTCATCAACCCGACGCGCCGCTTGTTTGCACCGGCCTTCCCATGCCGATCGTTTGCCCACCAACTTGTTGACTGAAGCCGACTGGGGCGGATGTCTACTCTGATCTCGATTGCCCGTCAGGGTTTTTACCTTAGCGGTGATACCTGCTGTGTGTTGGAGCGTTGGCCAGGAGTTACAAGTACTCGGGCTTCATGCGCTTAGGGTTACCTTCTCTGGGTGCCTTGGATTTCAAGGTTATCTTCCCTGGAGCTTTTGGGTCCCACTTCCATAGGGATAGCTGTCGCTTGGCTTCTGCCTCACCCTTGGGGTCAGCTTGGGTCTTGGTGCTTTCATTTGGCCCTGGGTAGGGAGTGTTTGCTGCTTGTTGATTCAGCTGTTGCTTCGGGTTCTTTCTCAGTTTGAGTCCTACCGTGGAAGAATTGTTCTAGTGGCCCCTTGGTGGCCGGCACAGCCTTGGTTTCAGGCGCTGCTTGCTCAATGTCTGTACCTGGGATGTTTTCCGCGGTTCTGCCTTTTTTCAGCAGATTGGACCGGTCCGGTACATGACTGGTTCGGTCTACTTCGCTCTTCGCATCTGGTCTTTTTGACGCAGGTTTATAGTGTTATTTTCTGTGACTCTAAAAGTGCTCTGCAGTCCTTAAATAACCCATCACAATGTATGTCGGAAGTAGCTTGTAATATTAAATGGAATGTAATTTTTGCCAATAATAATAACTCTTGTATAAAATTTGTGTGGCTTCCATCCCATGTTGGAGTTGGAAAACATGACTTTGTAGATTGATAATATATTAGGCCATTTTGTTACAAGGAGTGAGGTTTTCCTCCCCCCCCCCCCCTCCCTCCTCTCTCTGTGTATGAGTTGGATTAGGGTTCAGCCCCTCCCCGGGTTCGGTTTGGTATTGCTTTGGGTCCTTCGGTTCAGTCCTTCCGGAGGTTTTCGGCTCCTCAAGTCTCACTAACTAAGGTGCGGGCGGCCATTGCAGCTTACCTTCTGCGCGATCCTGATTTTCCCTTGTTACGGCCACAATGGGTCGCAACCGGGTTCTTTGCTAGAGGAACTAAAGTTCTGGTATCCAACCCCAAGTTAGTAGTGGCTTTCAAGGAGTGAGTTTGGTAATGCAAGTAAAACACAATGGGGGGAGTTGCATTAAATATGACACTTCATCAATTATCAATATATTCACATATAATCACTTTCCCATCACCTCATATATAATCATAAAGGAAGTATTACTACACTACCGGCTTCATAGGGAGCCGGTCGGCCGAGCGGACAGCACGTTGGACTTGTGATCCTGTGGTTCCGGGTTCGATTCTGGGCGCCGCCGAGAAACAATGGGCAGAGTTTCTTTCACTCTATGCCCCTGTTACCTAGCAGTAAATAGGTACCTAGGTGTTAGTCAGCTGTCACGGGCTGCTTCCTGGGGGTGGAGGCCTGGTCGAGGACCGGGCCGCGGGGACACTAAAAGCCCTGAAATCATCTCAAGATAACCTCAAGATAACACATATATACACAAGTGTTGCTCTCATAGGACACTAAGCGCTCCTCGATGCTCATACGATGCAGTCTTGTCAGCTTCCGTGTTTCCTCAACACACAGTACGGTCCTCAACCAGTACTGGGAAACACCAACGAGTCTACCCTAGCCACGGGCCAGCCTATACAGAGTCTCACTAGGTGCTCCTTGTGAACGCCCACAATCACTCTCCAGCCTGGTGCTGGCAGAGAACATTAGCCTCGTGCTGCTGGGCCTCTTCATGAACAAATACAAGGGTAGCTAACCCCTGGCAGGAGCTTCTTGCAACTAGCTAGTTACACTCCTCCGTAGCACCTTACTGTCAGTCGTCTCTTCCTCTTGCCAGTCCCGGGATACGTTGAATTCCGTCACTGCCACTTCACAGGCAGACAGTAGAACACTACACAGTTCCTCTTCGGCGGCGGCTCACTGCTCACGTAAAGCAGAATGGAGTAGAGAGAGGTTGGCTGCCCTGGGTAGACTGACTGTCCTCGTACCACAGCAGCCCTACTTCGCCTCTGTGGATACAGACACGTCATCAGTAAACTGGTCAGTACATGGGACACTAGGAAATACCACTTACGGACTCTGACAAACATACAACTCCTCCTACAATAGACGGCGCTGATTTTCTAGGCGCCACCTCACCAGAGGTCAGCAAAAGCTACCTCTCGAGCTGACCAGGACAGGAATCTAGCACCTCTTGCTGGTATCATCCTGCCACCACTAGATGGCATCGTCCATGTTGTGGGGGGTTTCGGGAGCGGACTCACAGATGGCATTGACGTCGTTGCTCCATGCTTTGACGATGGAATCGGGTTTGTAACATCCCTCTATAATGGATCCGTAATCATTCAGGTTTGGGTCTTTGTCTCCATACTGGGTTCGTTATGAGGTTCCAGAGTTGTCCTGGCTGCAGACTGCGCGTTGTTTTCGTTGGATGCTTTGAGTACTTTCTGCCGTACCTGCATGCTTGAGTGGCGTGAGGCGTTAATGGTGGTCCAGCTTTACCTGTGGGGCGACTTGGAGCACCTTAATGTGTGTTGTTTGCTCCTGCCTTTCTGCAGGGGCAGAAGGGCAGGGGTTCTCTTGGCAGAAGGGTTTCGTCCTTGTCAATTACGCTTTTGGCCGAGGGCTTGCTCACTCATGCATTGCTGGCTTTGGTCTTGCGCTTCTTTTCCCTCCTGGAGCTGTCTTCGGATTGGCTTGCGAAGGGTGTAGTGGCGCTTGGGGCCACTCCAAGTGCCTTGGTCTCGGCGGCTCGTGCGTCGTCTGTGCTGTTGAAGCAATTTGCGTCGATCCTGCGGTGTAATTACCCAAGTGTATTTAGCTAAATGTAGTTACAGGATGAGAGCTACACTCATGGTGTCCCGTCTTCCCAGCACTCTGTCATATAACGCTTTAAAACTACTGACGGTCTTGGCCTCCACCACCTTCTCACCTAACTTGTTCCAACCGTCTACCACTCTGTTTGCGAAAGTGAATTTTCTTATATTTCTTCGGCATCTGTGTTTAGCTAGTTTAAATCTATGACCTCTTGTTCTTAAAGTTCCAGGTCTCGGGAAATCTTCCCTATCGATTTTATCAATTCCTGTTACTATTTTGTATGTAGTGATCATATCACCTCTTTTTCTTCCGTCTTCTAGTTTTGGCATATTTAATGCTTCTAACCTCTCCTCGTAGCTCACAATTTTTCGGTGCTTGTCTCGCGTGTCGGCAGGTTGTGCTCGCTTCCTCCTTGAAATCTGCTTGGGCCCTGGCTCTTAGTTTCTTTCCCTTTTTATCCTTTTATACAGTATTTGTAGATGCTGCAGTTGGGCAGTTTCTGCAGGCAGCCTTGGTTCGTTGTCAGACTTTTTGGTCCTTTAGGGGGTCCGGTGGGTGGGGAGGGAGTGTTCCTCTTGAAGGGTCGTGCCAGGGCTCGGGGTTCTGCTCGTCGTGGTAGGCCACAAGTGCCAGTTTGAGCTAGCGCCGCCTATGGAACCGTCTGCATCTGGTCGGTGCAGTGATCGCTCTGTGCGCAGGTCGGGTTCTCTTAAGTGGCCCCGGCCCTTTTGTGGTTCGCGCTATTGATGGGGCGAGAGGGGGGGAGAGGCTTACTCTGTTTGCTCACTCCTTGA